ATAGCTACTTGCTTGCATTATATTGCCAATAAAAATTTTGTAACTAAATTATTTTCCACGCTTTCTGCATGCAATTTTCACTATGCTTTTAAACTCAATTATTATTAAATAATTAAAAGATTTCGCATTCGATTTGCATGCATTGAACAAAACCGTGCCAAACAACCGACGCTCACTTATGCACTGTGTAAGGATCCAATATAATTTTGACACAACGAAAATTCTTCGAACGAATAAAATGGTGGAAACGAAATCAAATTAAAGTGAATTGTTTTTCCGTCGGCCCAGAACAAAATGTCTGCATCAAACATCGAAATGAGTTTTACAAAGAATTTTAAAAGGTTTTTCTCTAGAATTTTCAATCGAAAATGAACTAAAAACCTTTGAAATTACAGAGAGTACAAAAAGTGTCATTCTGTAAGCCGAACACGTTTTTTCCATTATCAAAAAAGAAGAACGGAATTGAACATTTATTTTAACGTTTATCATAAAATGAAATTCATGTTAAAATACTCAAACAACACCCTGCAAAGAAAGATAAACGGCTTTGGGTATGTTGCGACGGGAACGACGACCATTTTTTTCTTTTTCTTCTCATAGATTTCTCTCAAATTGTACTCACTTCGAAACGGCACCAACACTTTCCACATCATTTTATTTATCTGATTCAAGTTTTATTTGCAAAATGATCAAACAATATAATCAGCATCCATTAATATATTTGCGCGAACCGATTTTTGTGTCTCTCTTTCTCAATAAATTTGAACAAAGCTCTTGTGCTAGACACATGTCGATTTGTGCCGCGAATCTATCTAAATATCAAATATTTGAACTGTGGGAGTAGCAAAAACGATTTATTTGTATGCGTCAATAAAGCGTCGGTCGCCAATGGCGTATTTGTAGAAGAAACAAGAGAGAGATATATATATATTTTGTAGTAAATGCACCGGTAATAAATTTATAAACACTCAATAAAATACAGCATTTTATTGTTATAGCTTCAATAAATTCATTACAATTTGATGGTCGTTGGGCAAATACATCTTACAGGATTTTTAGCATCCATCAATATATCAAAGGTAAAAGTGTGAAAAGTTTCTCACAAATCAATAGTTCTAGATCTTACAGCAGTGTTGTAATTTCGTTTCGTTCAAGAGTTTAGCATTTTCGCTAAGCATTTTGTAAGATGATCTAAAGAGAGCTTTGGCAATATTTAACGCCGTTTGGAAAATCGTTAAACGTGTGTCGAAGACACTAAATGAAATGTGCATATAATTTTATTGATGTTTGTTAAAATGAGCACCTGATTGCACTATTTCCATTCAACAACAAAACAACAACAAGCACACAAACACTCACTCGAGCTTGCGAGACCGGGAAAATGGTTTTAAATCATTTATTATTATATAACTACTAAATTGTTTTATAAGGCAATACATTGCACATATCTCTCTCTTAAATCGAAATGGTCCACCATTTTATACAACCGTCATAAAGCATAACAAGTCGGAAAAAAATCAGAAACGAAACACGCACATTCACACACTTTTATACGGAACTTCATACTCATTATTAAATAAAATTCAAATAAAAAACAGCAATAACAATCAAAATTATTTGAATTGATTTTTAAATGATGACGTCTCATTTTGTTGTTGATGGCTTGTGGATGAACTTCTTTTTTTCGCGCGCACGCCAGTCATTTGATTGAATACGTGTCATTTGAATAATGATTCAGGATATTATGTGTATTCAACCTTGAACTTTTTTTTATTAGATATCGCATTATTTTTGAGTGGATCTGCACTAGATCATGAATGCGATTAAACTTTCGCATTCTTCTGATTATATTGAACAATTTTTTTTGATAGTTTAATCAAGTATTTAATTAATTTTTGGAAAATTCAATATTTTTCGATATTGACTTTTTTCCCAACTTTGATTTTTTCCGTGTCATTTGATGAATGTTGTTCAACAAACACTTTGCAAATGAATTCAAGTTTTTGGTTGTACACTAGTGACGGTTTCCGTTTTAACTGTTTTACAAAGACACACCTTCAATATTGAAAGACTCAAAGTCGTACGAAGCAAATACAAAATTCGAATAAAACGAAAATCCTTCATAACATGCAATGGAGAATTGCATACATTCGAAACCATAAAAATAATCATTAGTTTGCCTTTTGCATGTCGATTTCCAATTCACATTAATCTTTGTTTTCTACATGTTCGAAATCCTTTCACTAAACAGTTACCCGCAAAATGACTTTGCTGCTTTTTTTTCAATTTCAAATAACGAACGGAAAATACGTGAAAAAAACACTTACTTTACATGTGTTTAAGAAAGAGGAATAGACAGACAGACAGGGAGAGAGAGAGAGGATCACAAAACTTTCAAAAAGTGAATAACAATAGATACAAAACAGTCATAAAACCATTTAGAATATTGGCTTGAGTGAATTCACTCACAAAATTGCTCCAATTTTTTTTTCAATTGGTTGGGCTATATTTTTTTCTCGTTTTTCTTTCCATTGCTGTTATCTAATTCGTGTGCTCGTCGGCATTGCTTGTGCAATAATGATCTTTTTTGTTCGTTCGATTCGGTCAGACATGCACCAAATGGAGGAAAAAACCTTGGGCCATTAATAGCACTAGTAAATAGAATGAAAGTGTGTATGGAAATGAATGTGCTCGAATTGCATTCGTTTCTTTCACCTCTTCTGTATACAAGAAAACAGTAAAATTCCATAAAACTGAATCAGTTATAACTAGTAAATACATAAATAAATGATTTGCTCTTTGTTTCCGACATTTGTGTAACAGATAATAAAAACAGAGAATTTCGAAGCAGCACGAAGAAAAAATTGGGTTTTTTTAAAGAATGGAATCGAGCATTTTCAGAGAACAATTTTTTCTTGAATTTTTTTGTATGACCTTCGAGAGACGGAGTATCAACACACTACCGAAATAAAACTGTTTGGCATTGCTCGGTTTTAAATGAGATTTTCTATTGTTGTTGAAATGAAATTTGAAAAAGGGAATTTTGAATTAAAGTTCGAAAATTCATTGTATTTGCAGCACCAGCAACAGCAGTAATGCTCTGCATTTTTATTGTTTCATTTCGTTCCGAAATTGAATTTTCGAAATAATAACGCCTTGCACGTCGAGGTGGTTAAAAGAAAGCCAACAGAGTTAAATTCCCGAAAGGAATTTACTCAAATGGGATTTTGACGAAGGAAAAAGAAAACACATCAACCGAAATGAGAAAAATGAACGAACGAACGAATGAACGAAAAAAAAAATAACAACTATAAAAACGATACGAAAATGTCAGAAAAGGTTAAGAGACGAGGTGGTGTATTTTCTCGTCCTGGCATCCATTTCGTGTTGATTTGAGTGAGCGAATATTTGTGTGTGTGTGCACAAAAAATCTAATAAAATATGCTACATGTTTATGCTTTTGCGCTGCCGCCCCATTTGAATATAAATCTAAGACAAACTTTCGTTACGCAGTGAAAGAGAAAGAGTAGCATCTATGGTCATAAAAATCGTTTTCACTACACACGAAAACACCATCGCACACAAAAGTACACGCGATGTAATGCACTTTGTGTTTTTATCATCCCATTTTGTTATAAAAGACACCCCAAACCAATACGATGGTGTTTCGGTTTGCTTACTCATTCACTCATTCGCCCCGTTCTCATTCTTTTCGGTATCGTTTGGCGTCTTTTCGTGTCAATGGTTTTTACTCTTGGTCCGATGTAAAAAAGAACCTTTTCGAACGGAAAACTGAATTCGTTCCGTGGCAATGAGACGATAACGAATGCACGAACCGAACCAAAAACGGAAAACAGAAATATATATGCGGCAATTTGAATAGCTTGGCTAAACTATTTTGAATGGACGAAAAGGAAGCAAGAAAAAAATAACACGAAGAAATAAGTTAAGATGAAATGGGATTTCGGACGAAATGCGATTGGATCTAATCGTAAAATTACATTTACGTTGAAGAATTTTTACTTTCGGTTAGATACATAATATCCATAGCAAAGCATGTATGTATTAAATGGCGCATATCGACGGGCAACGATGGCTGTGCCAGTGGCTGCTGTGCTTTAATCGAAATGAATGGAAATTGTCGACACCAAAAATTCGTAAGAGAAAGAAATATGCTCGCATGTGCAGCAATAATATTTCTTCTTTACATTTCGCCCGGTCTCGTTGTTTCAATTTCTTTTCGTCCATTTTTGCCCGGGTGTATTTGTGTTTGTGTGTGTGTTTGCGTTACATTCTTCGACAGGCGATCACATAGTGTACGTTGGATTTTCCATTGTTGACATCACATTGAGGGGTAACACGAAAAACACGCGTTAAAAACGGCTAAGAGAAAAAGCAATTTTATGTTCGGCAAACCAATAAAATTGCAGCTTTTGATTTTCACACAAAATAATCCAACAAATGTTTTTTATTGCATTCTATACACACACACACATACACTGATGTGAGCATTTTGTTTGCAAACGCAAGCACAAATTCACAGCAATGCTGCTGCTGCTGATTTCTATTTATTGGATTTGTGAACCATACAATGACTTGAAAGAAATATGAATTTAAAGGGCATTTGAAATTTCACTTCCAAAGGAATTGAACAAAGAAACCAGCCGTCGTCGATTTCTCATCGCCTTTTTCCATTTCCTTTTTTGATTATATTAATGGAAATGCCAGCCCCATTGACATGCAACACACACTCGTACTTGCACACTGTGTGAGACAGTGATGATATATTGTTTGGCTAAAACTTTCCGTAGTTCGTCGTTTATTTAATGGGCGCATTCGAGACCAATGTAATTTGATATGGTCGCAAATTGAATTTTAATTACCATACTATTCACTATCGAAAGAATGGTCAAAAACATGAACGTTAAACTAAATATATGTACATAATTATTGGTATTATTTTACTCGCAAAAATTCCAAACTTTTAATATTCGACTTACCTTGTTTGATAGTTAAAGTCGGCATGTCATAATTTTACACACTGAATTTTTTGGGATTTGATTGAATTTTTTTTTTTTCTAAATTTCAACTCTGACGTTTTTTGTCCTTATCAATAAATTGCACTTTTGCCGAAGTGGTTTCGTTCGCTCAATTTTTACGCGATATAGCAAATCTCCTTTTCCAAATCTTAAAAACAACGAACAAAACAATATGATAAAAAAATAGTGTGTGGAAATATAGAGGAACATATCAATTTATACGTTAACATCTGAAGATAATTTTATGCATTGAGACGACAAACGATCATTGATGCACATTTAAGTACTCATAACTTTGACTTTATTGGAAATAATCGAACAGAAGTCATCGGTTGAAAATCGGATGAGATTTTCTTTGTTTTTCCAATTCAATGAATGATCGAAATTTGAATCTAACGTTCGAAAATGTCGCAAAATATCAAAAACTAATTATTTTTTCATCAACAGATGGTTTATAAATTCAAACGTTCCTCTTCACGCATCAAAATGATAATGTTATTCAAATGAAAATTAAATCACACTACTAAAAAAGAAATGCACGATTTCAAAGCTTTGATCACTTTGCACCGTTTTACACAAACTACATGATTTTGATTTCAAATTGAGAAAAATGAAGAAAAAATTACATGTATAACGTGAAAATGAAATGGAATAGAAAGCTTTATCAAAAAAGTACGTTGATTTACTTGTTAATAATTTGAATAAAAATTGACTGCAAATCACTCGATGAGAAAAGCGAACAAAAAATTATTCGACGATTTTAATTGAACTCATGAGAATGTGTACTACTCAAACAACATGTTTAAAGATACTGATGGCAACGATTTGTTTTATTAGAACGCCGATATAATGACAACGAAAACTGAACAAAAAAAAAAAGTAAGTAGCAGCGACGAAATGTATTCTTCGATGGAACGAGAGAGGCGAAAAAAAGCGCACAAACAACAACACACCACAAGGGAGAATCAAAAATGTTGAACCGTCGACGTCTTTCTTATTGAAATAAATGTAAGTGTTTGCGCTGTGCACAAGAAACAACAACTGGAAAAATATAAAAAAATTCTTCATGCAACCGAATCAAAAACGTTGTTACCGTACAGTACATACAGACATACATACATTTATATGTTTCGGTCACACAGGCGAGAGAGATATTATGAGGCTAGGCATCAGCGTTGGGTTGTAAATGTGCGCGGCGTGATTGCCAGTGCTCTTTCGGCAGCTCAATTTCATCGGATCACGCGTAAAACATACAGGGAGAAAATGGCGAAACGAGAGAGAGAGAGAGTGAGAGAGAGAGAATTCTCGTGTTGATTCGATGTGAGTTGAGTTTTTTTCATCTCTACTTATTCTTCTACACTTCTCTCGTCGCATTCGTTACGATTCGAGATGGCCCGTGTACACATAGCTAAAGCCAACACATTATGTACGGATCTTTTGGTCGAAATGCGCTATACATAGGGATTGTATAGATAAAATGAAATGTATTTGTGTTGTGATATACACCGCATTCCCGCTTTCATGAGAAAAATACGAAAGAGCATCAAGAGTTCTCGTTTTTCAAAAAAAAAGGGAATACGAAAAGAGAGACGAACAAAAAAAAAACATTTTAATTTAATGATTCACAGAGTCACTATGTAGAATTTTTTTCTTGTTGTTGTTTAATGTTGATTCCAAAAACCGACAAGCAACGCCATTTCCATTTCGAATTCATTCGATTCTAAACACATTTCGAATTGATTTCCGATGATGATCTCGATTCTAATTAGAAATGTCTGCGATCGAAGTGATGATGATTCGAAATTTAACGAACTCAATAAACATTTGAGCATCATAAAACTCTGTTTCTCGTTGTGTGTAAATTATTTTTTATCCCGGTGCCACTAGATTCTTTTGTTGAAGCTAAAAAAACCTAATCCGAGTTCATAATTTACATGCTCAATAGCCCTGTGCTCGACTAAATGCATTGAAAATACATTTTTTTTTCTAACCACACTTCATTACGAGAGTTACAAAAAAAAAAAACTGCAACGACGACGACCAACCGGCAACACAACAAATAAATATTGTTTTAAAAAGCGTATGCAACGACATTGAACTTGAATACAATGTTTATGAACACTTAACAACTATAAAAAAAATATATTACAACAACAATACACGCGAATGCCATTTTTTACCACATAATTTAATAAAATCGAGAATCGTATTTCACCGCATATGTGTATTCCTACTGTAGCCCGTATTATTTCTCGTTTCATTACAGACAGACGAGACGCAGAGATTAAGGAACACACAAAAAAAATTATTTATATATATTATTAAATAAAACTGCCACTTTTCCGACCAATTCGCGATAATATTAATGAAAATGCAAAGATAAATCATTCGCAAATCATGCAATCGTTATGAACACCAAATCGCCCATTATTTTCAGCGTAATGAACGTCGCACATTACAACTAGCTATTATTGAAGGAAATGCAAACATGACGTTGACTTTTATTTGATGTAATTGGAAACAGAATCATCTTCAATTTATTGGCTGGATTCGATAAGGACTTTGTGAGTGGCCTAAAGTGCGATGGTGGTATGTCATTGAATCGGATTGCTCTGTTCAATTTTGTCGCGTTAATTGCAAACCAGAAAATCTGGTCGTTTTTGTGCATTTCATTGGATTTATCATATCATTATTGCTCGTTGCAATCAAAAAGTGACGCCAAAAACCAACCCACTCAAAATTCAACAAGGCAACATTGTATCTGCACACAAAAAAGCGTCAATGATATTGCTGCTGCTGCTGCTGTCGTAGCTTCCTTAAGAAAATGACAGAGCAAAAAAAAACAGTCATTTTATGCAAATTCTGTTGCTGTTTTGTCAAGTGTTTGATTAGATTTTTTTACTACTTGGTTTTTATTTCCTTTCGCTTTTCAGAGACGCTAGCTTCTTTCAGCTTGCGCGCACGCCTTTTGCGTGTGCAATTTTAAAGGCGAAAATATATTGCGTTTATTATGCATTTTATGAGTCACCATATTTGAACATAAAAAATTGTATTCAGCTTAAAACAGGTTCAAATTTGGAATGTATATATAGATATATATTTTTTTCGTTCAGTCTTTGGCTTGCAAATGGAATTCGTGCAGAGAAAAACGCACATACACAAATAGATGCAGAGAGAGAGAGAGAGCTAAAATCCAATGGCACGGTTGCTATCTGTTTTTTTGAAATGAAATTGTAACATCCTTTTGGCGTGTCCGCATAGGGTTGCTGTTTTCATTTTCAGCACGCGTACCGAACCGTATCTCGTTCTTACAATAGATGCGTATATTTTGTTTTTATTACCTCTAAAGGAAAATGTATAGCGCGATCATCAAATACATAGCCCGAACTTTGTAATTTTTGGCTTTAAAATAACATTTGTTCAGTGTGGATCATATTTTTTTGTTTGGTTGGAAAAAACCAATTTAATGCGCATCGTGCCTGGAATATTGTTCACTTCAAATATGATTACGTAGAGACAGCAAACTCGCATAAAAAAAATATGGTTATCAAAAACTCTTTGGCCCGCTTTTGAGACTAATGTTGAATTTTTCAAATATCATTTGCTTTCTTCACGGTTGAAAATTTCGCTCTTTCCGTACGACCGACAAAAACAAAATTCATAAATTTTTATGATTGCACGGGAAAATTTTCGGTTGGCCAAATACAGAATGCGAACCAAAAAAACACGAACACACCGAAAATGAGGGGCGAAAATAATCTACTAAAAACATGAAGAAAAAAAATGAACGAATGCTGCACATGGTTTGCTATTATGCTTAGCTTGGCGGTATAAATATAGATAAACCACACGATTAAATGATTTTATGGCAAAATATATATGATTAAGTTGTTGATTGCTACCCGAATAAAGATGTACGAAACACGAAATAACAATTTCTTATCAAAATGCAAACTTTTGATATGCAGATTTACTGCGTACACACATTATACGGCAACGCATTCAAAAATCGCATTTGAACGGAAATTCGTTCATAAAATTTCGTTCATTTTGAGGGAAACATAAACATTCGTGGTGCGCACGTTCTTTGTCAAACAAAATGAAAGAGACATGACGATGGTCATAAATACCATTCACTCCCCAGACAAAATAGAGTACACATTCGATTAAAATTCAAAAAAATTGCTAAAGAGTGTCGCTTTTTTTATTCTGATTGGATTAGATTTATTTTTGTTTCGTCGGCTCGGTTTTTTTCATCTCTCTATCAACAAAATGACATCACAATTTAAGACTCACTCTGGGGGAATGGAATCGAATAAAATGTGAAACATTGAAACGAATAAATGGTATCGAATTAAACAAAACAAAAATTCTTTTGAAGGTATAAGATTTCGCTCGTGCACCGTCATTAGATACTTGCAACGGCTTAACTTTTTTTAAAAAAAAAAAGAGTATGCGGAGAGGAAAAAAGAGTCTCGAGTCTCATTCGAGAAAGGAAAAAATATATATATAACCAGCAACCGCGATAAATTATAGACATTTTTGTACGATTAACTATCACAAAAGAAACTTTTTAATGGTGCTTTTCTTGAACATTGTTGAAGCTAATAAACGAGTTTTATGTGCATGCACGACACGAGTGATGGAAAGAGAGTGAGTGTTCAGAACGAGAAAGAGATACGTAGGCCAGTTTTCTGGAGGGAGCCCACAGAGTGTGCAAGAGAAAAAAAACACACACGCAAGAAACGAACGACAAATAGATAATCAAAATATATTAATGAAGCCTATATATTTTCGGATTTTTCGTGCTCGAAACGACGACGAGTGTGAAGCTCATTTTCTTGTGCTCAAGAAACAAACCTTGTTTTTACTCTTTTTTTTCTCGTTTTGAAATTCTTGTTTTCTTCGCTCGTCGAAAGTGATAAAAATCTAATAAATTATGTAAATTATCCAAGGCTGTTTTTTTTTCTTTCTTCTTCTTATTCTCTGCTGTCCTCTCTCGATCGCATTGGTCAACAGCGAACGCCTTACATTTATAACTTCAAATAGGGACGAAACTTGTACCACACTTTATCGATTATTATTGAAATAATTTATACTTATTTATTATTTTACTTTGTGCGTTTCGTCGCTCTCGCTCAATCTCCT